CCTGAACCGACGACGGGCACAAAACCGTGACCCGAACTCTCCAAGTCAGTGGCTACACCGCATGCGAGTGATGCAAGGGCCCCTCAAAGACAAGTTTTGGAAACTATCAAGTTACACCACCCCCCTTCCCTCCCTCGGGAAGCCCAGACACGTAACTGGCACAAAACATAAGCGTTCAGCTAAGCCAGAAATATTCCATCTTGGCAAAAGAAAAAACAGAAGTCCCACAGGAAGAACTCAAAGGAGCAACAACAGGTCAGGAATTGTCTAGAACGCAAATGAAAGCACTGACCCAGATGTTCACGGATTAAAAGTTCAGCTACAGATCAGTACTTCTGGATTCAGCCTTACTCAGAGTCTCAAACCCAAGCCTTCCACACACGGTGTGACAGCTCGTGTTCGCGTCAGCATCGCAGGCGGATCAAGTTCCTTCAAGATGCTGCTGTTTTTCTAATTTTTCTAGCCCTTAGGTCAGCCATTTGCAGCAGGTCATTCAGAAGCAGCTGCTGTCTTAGGCGCAGCCTTGGCTTTCTAGGACATTCACTACTGCTTTACAGTATCTGCAGGATACTGTACAGATTGCCCGAGATCTTTATTGTTCAGGCCCAATGACTTCAATAAGACACCAACATCTGTGCCTGAAAGCTCACCTTACCTAGAGCTAACTCCTGCTTCGACGGTGGATGCTCCTAAGGAACCCTGTCCCAGCACTGCTTCAGCTCCCACGGGTGCCTGCTCACCACTGGTCCACCAGGAAGAGGGAATCTCCTGGGTGAAAACCCCACCAGGTGCCTGGGGACCTGCACCCACCGCTAACGCACAACACTGCGAGACAGTCCCGAGGGAAACGTGCCAACACCGGCACCCGGTCCTTGCAAAGCTACGAGGCACAACCAGGGTTTCATGGAACCAACGCCTGCACAAGGCAGCATTCGTAAGCCTTCAAAGGAGGCTACAAGCAAGGCAAAAACTGCACCCCGTAACATCCCAAAAGCCAAATAACGCAGACAAACGTCACAGATGCACACAGAGAAGGCCCACTGCCAAGAAAGGTTCTCCCTTCCCCAAAAGTCAGCAGAGACTGGCCACGTTTGGTGGCAAACTATCAAGCTATGAATCCCCTCCACATTTTGACATGAAGCTCTCAACCCACGTGCAATTCCTGAAGTTAAATGGGTGTGGCAAACTATCAAGCTATGAATTCCCTCCACATTTTGACATGAAGCTCTCGACCCACGTGCAATTCCTGAAGTTAAATGGGATCAGCCAAAGGTGATTCTCAGGCAGCTGAGCAAGCCTTACGTGATTCAGATAGTTCTCAATCTTGCGCAGGGTTGCCTCGGGGACTTTGATGTGGCAGGGTTTCCTCTGGTTCTCCCCAAGCTCCCGGAGTGAAGTCATGTTGTACATAGCGTGGCTGAGGGGGTTGTTGTTCTTATCCACCAAGCCAAGGCTCTGCAAAGAAAGAGGCAAACAACACTATCAGGCACAAGACTGCTGCGTACGAAGCGCTGGTGTGCAGAGCACACGGGGCCTACACGTTCGGACGGGCTAACTCCCTCCTCCACATCCCAAACCCATCGCTTCCTGCTCTTGCCACAGCAAGAAACAAGACACGATCCCAGCTCAGCTCTGGTGAAACAGACACACGGGAGCCAACCTGTCCCCAACACAATGCTCACAGGACGGTCTTAAACAGACCCACCTAAGAAACAGCAGACACAACTGCATCTGACAAAACCCTCCTGCAAGGGCTCTTGCTATGGCTGTGGTATGTTGTGCCATTTCTATAAGAAGTCCTACGCTATTTTCTTGGGTTTCCCCTCTGCTGACTCCAGAGTCTGCAGCGAAACTATTGCAGCAACGTGCCTGGACTAGTCCACCTACAAGAATGAGAAGATGGTGTGTCTTAGCAGCCAGCAGCAAGGTGGCCAGGAGAACAGGCTAACACTTCCAGGGTGATCCTTACACATCACTTTGTGCTGCGGGCTCAAAACAAGCACAACAGCCTTCGCTGGCCAGACACGAGACGGGTACACCAGCAGCTTGGACTGAATCAGAAAGTTTGGAAATACACACTTATTAAGCATGAAGTCAACGATCAGAAAGCTTCAAGCATCACCCCACGAGGCTCAGATACAGTAAGGCAGGCGCAAGGAGCCTCTACTCACAGACACAGGAGCCATGCACACTTACCTTAAGCTTCTGACAGGCCAGCGCCGCTGCTTTGTTTTCTGCCTCCACCTTGCGACGGCCCTTGGCAGCGAAAGTCATCGGACAGGGCCAGCGGAGCGTGAGCTTGCAGATCTTGGTCTTGGTCCCTACTGTACGGAACTGCATGTATTCCTAAAAGGCACACACACCCCCCATCAGATTAAGGGAGGTGTTAAGACTCTACGTAACGAGAGGCATTTTCAAATACACCCCGGTATTTCCAAGCAGAGCTTAAATTGTTGTTTGGTTTTTAACGCTGTAGTGGGACAGGTTTAGAGCGCTGAGTTCTGCTCCCCCAGCTCACAAGGCACTGGTTAAGCACAAGTGAGAGCAGACAGCTGTGCGGAGAACATCACCGAGAGCCCACGGGGTGGAGCACAGCTACTGTCTGCTAAGCGCATGAGGTCTGGAAAGGAGGTGGGTGACACATCCCAAGGACTCCTCCGGCAAGAATCGAGTCGTGGAAAGATTCCGTCAGCACGGAAATGACACATTGCTCCCAGTAACACAAACTTGTGTTTGCTGCAGATACACGGGGAAATGCAAACTTATCACCTTCGAAAATATTCTCCTTCATTCAGGCAGCAGCTCTTCTAGCGCCCCGGCCTCGAATAACAACATTCCTCATGCTTCTGTTAAGACATTTCCTCAATTCTAACCACAAAGTCTTTCCCTCGCTCTTCAGGCTGATTTTTCTGGGCCTAGTTTTAACTTCCCTTCTCCCCCCAGTTCTCAGCCGCCCAAAAAAAGCATCCAAAGTGATTCCAGTGGTAGTCTGTGGGCTTCGTCCCCGGCAGGGGTCAAACAGCACCTTACCTTGACTGTGGAGGAAGAGGTTGCAATCTGAATCACTTGGGCCAGGAGATTTTTGGGAAGCGGGAACTGCGTCAGGGCACGGATGGCAGTGTTGTCGTCCGTCATTTCAATGGAACTCCCTCCTCGGCTAGATGGAAGATCAGAACAGTTTGATACAGAAATATGCCCTCTGTGCTCAGACCCACCTCACTTCAGGTCTGCTAGTGAGGTCTGAAACCGAGTAGTTAAAGGCACAGATGATTTTGGTCATCTGAAAAGCCAAGCTGTATCTTGCTACTAAAATCTGTCAGTCACGGAACAATCACCCAACCCAGTAAAGTCACCTATTAAAAAGCAACCAAACCTTTACACTAGCACTACAAACCTGATAGCATCAACAGATTATAATAGATCTAATAAATAAATATATAATTCCGAATGCAAACAACATCCCTAAAAACAGTGAGCCCCACCACCACGTCCTTATGCATCATCATCCCATTGACTACTAAAATTCAAAGATTTGTGCTCATAAAATACGCAGTCAAGCAAGTGGCCATGGTGATGAAAAGGAAATTTAATATTGCCCTCAAAAGCAGAGTGGTCAAAAAAGGTGTAAGTGCACATGCACAGCTTCTGGGAATGGAAACCTCTTTAGGCACAGAAGAATAAGAAAGGCAGGTAACGAGCAGGTAACGAGCAGGCAGCAGCCTACCCGAAGGGCAAAACTCCAGAGACAACGCTGTGCATCCCCTGGGGCCCCCAGACCAAGCTCCCCCACTACTGCTTGCATAGAGAACCCTACAGTACTCGGTGTTTGGCCCATCTACAGGCCACGCCAGCAACGTGGGAAGCTGCAGCTCAGCTGTGAGGAACTGCAGGGGTGCATCAGCTACACAGAAAAGTCTCTTCTCTTTACCGCCCTGGATTAGCAGCTATCCGGGCAGACGTACCTCGCGTCTCTGCCTGGGGTTCGAGCATCCTGGTGGGCCATAGGTAGATAATCAGAAACATCGATTGCTTCTTCTTCCAGCTCTCCCTCCTCCAGTTCCCCTTCTTCTAGCTCCCCTTCCTCCAGCTCTTCCCTCCTCATCGCTTTCGGCATCCTGCCCTGCTCCATGGGCTGGATGGCATCGTCCGGCTCCATCCGTCGCCAACAGGTCGACAAGTCGGCGAGAGAAGGTCCGGACTTGGAGCGCCACTTGCCCTCCGAGCACCACCTCTCGTCGGGACAGCCAAGCTGGTCAGCGAGAAGCCGGTACTTTGCAGCATCAAAGAGCTCATTTCTGGGCCCCAGCAAACCCCAGCCCTACAAGAGCAAAATGCATCATTAGCTGCAGCAAAGGGACAGATATGGGTAACTCTGCAGGCAAGCAGAACACAACTGATAAAGGACACAAATGCAGGAGGAGCAATTTCTTTATATCGCACAGAAAAAGAAAAGTGACTTTCAGAAACGTAAAGCTTTCCTCCTGCCCTTATTTCTTAAGAAAGGGTATCTGTTCACTAACCTTGCTTCCCAGAGCACAACTGCTTAGCATCACAAGCTTGTTAGGAAGGGTGGGCCAAGAATTACTGGCATTTTACAAACTAGTGACAGTATTTAGCATTCTGAAGTTTTGAAACCCACCTCAGAGCATGACATGCATCTTTCTGGAAAGGCTAAACAAGTACACTCTGGGATAACAGAAGATGAGAACTGACCATGAGCCAGCAGCATGCCCTGGCTGCCCAGAAGGCCAATGGTCTCCTGGGGTGCATTCAGAGGAGTGTGGGCAGCAGGGCGA